TCTAATGTTTTTCTCTTAATATTCTATTGTATATTAATTTTGATTAATGAAAAAAATCATGTTTATCACGAGAGATCGTTCTACATCGTTTGAATAAATTCAAATCTAACATAAAAATTGAATCGATCAAAGTACAAATTTACGATTAAATTTAATTTCAAACCACAGTTCTCATATCTTGGGCGCAAATGAATTATTTGTATGTAAATTTTAGAGGCAATCCTTATTCTCCAAGCAATTTCATGTCGAATTCACATAGAATAAATTTACGTAGTTTTTCCTGGTTTTAAGGTTTTATATCAATGTCAACCTATTAAGCAACATGATGTTGAATCACGCATTAAGTTTGTGTTAACAAACTTAGAAGTTGCTTCTAGACTTCTAGTTGTCTTGTTACTCTTAGTTGACCATGAAAACTGGAACATGCATGTTAACAAGTCTATGTCGACATGTGCACACAGTTATGTTTTGATTGATTTAGCACTTTTTGTTTATACTATTTAATTTTTATTTTTATTTTTTTTCACAAATTATATCACTTCAAGTACCACGCCTAATTCTCTTATGAAGACTTGCTTTCGTTACGGCTTTGATAGATTCCTTTGACAAAGCCTAGTGATGGTAACGGGCCGGTTCGGGGCAGGGCACCCCCGCACCCGCCCAGCCTAGCCTTAGACTGGGCGGGGGCGAGCCGCTTGCCTGCCCCGTTTGTTAGTTTTTTTTTTTTCCAGTTAATATAAAAATTCAAAAATTTAAAATCCAAAATAAATAATGTTCAAACTAACTATATCAATATTCAAAACAACCACTCGAAACAAAAAATTTCCAAAACAAACAATGTCGAATTTTTTTTTTTTTTTTTAATTCTTCAAAGGACGGGTTTGGGGTGGGGCATCTCCACCCGGCCCCGCCCCACAACCCGAGACGGGGTGGCGAACCTCGCCCTTCCAACCTGTTCGGGGCGGATTGGACTCGCGGGGAGGGGAGGGGAGGGGTGGGGAAAATTGCCATCTCTAACAAAGTCACTGCTTATAAGCCTTCGACTCATTTTTCAATAAGCATGCAATGAGAGACCTGGCTCTTTCCACTACTTGGGAGCTTACAATTTTATGGGTATTCTTTTGATCACCCTTCCTTTATGATACTATACTTCATTATTGATAATCGAGAAGTATTTAGCCTTGTAAAGTGATCCTTACCAATTTACACGGAATTCCATGTGTCCTATGCTATTTGGGTTAGAGCGTAAAATGTGTAATAATGTTAAATATATGGTAAAACCAACACATTATGTTAATTCTTCATCAGGGAGAGTCAAAAGGAAAGCTACAAATCATGCCTTTCTATATCGAGTTTGACAATTTACAAAAACTCAGACAATGTAAGCATGGGAATGTCATAATGCTAGACGCTATATGTGTCTTATAATTCAGACAATGTGAGCATGGGAATGTCGTAAAGCCAGATAATACATGTGTTTTATACTCTTATTAGACGGTCTGTGTGTAAATATTCGTTTAGTTAGCTTTGAAATGAAGAACATATATTTCATCGAACTTTTGTTTTTTTTGTATTTTTTACTTATATAAATATATGAGACAAATAAATTTTTTACGTAACGAATTTTTTGAGACACAAACTTGATCAAGAACATAATGTGCTACAACTTATCAAAAATTGAGTTAATTCTCTCAAACTTGTTTTGGACGCATCGATTATTTAAATTTTTTAACCCAATTCATTAATCTAATACATATCAACTCTAGAATAAATTAATCATATACAGTCAAGATCTACCATTCATATTAGTTTATCTACGTCCCTCCCTTTGCATATACAATCACGATCTATGCTCGTTTGTATGACTTCAATTGGACTATCCATTTGTTGACGTGAACCTTCTAATACCTACATTTGCAACTTTTTGGCAAAAAAATAAGAGAAATGCTACACTTACAGTCTTTTTACACATACATTTTGACAGCTCCCTCACATGGGGGTCGGGCCCACAATCGCGGACCCCACACCCATGTGAGAGGGCTGTCAAACTTGCTGGTATAAAAAAACCGTACATTCAGCCTTTTCCAAAAAATAAAATTTTTAAAGGCATTTCTTTCATAAATGATGTGAATATCATGCCATGACTACTACTCTATGACCAACTCTCGGTTATAGGGCTTAAACTCATTATAGAATACTTGCACAAGCAACTTATAATTTTGTCAATGTTTGGGAGAGCTTTTAAGTGATTATAAATTGTGATTTTTATGAAATACGTGGATAATAAGTAGTTATAATTATGGATATTACAAAATATATGAATAAAAAGCATGTTTTTATCCGTTTAAATTATAATTTAAACTTTACCAAATATTAAACGAGCAAGTGAAATGATGTTGGATCGATACTAAGAAGATATCGGGATACATATAAAGTACCGCCTTTTTAAATTAAGAAGGTCCGAACATAGAAAATTTATCATATAACAGAGGTTATTAATTCATCGAAGATTAATTTCTCCCATTAGTCCTAGTTGAGATCGAGAAATTATATTACGTATTAGAGGTTATTAACGTATAGAATATTAATTTATATATGTTATATTGTAACGCGTTTCTCAAAGATGGATCAAAACTGAGCCGGGCTTGGAATTGTTCTTCAAATTACAAAAATTGTACCATGTACAGAGAGAATTATAAGAATTTTCTTGTCGATGCTCAACTTTATTCGGCAAATCTTTATTTAACTAATCAAAAGAAGTAAAATTGAGCTTTTTAATTGAAAAGTAAATTCTGAAAATGGCCAAAGCTTTCATAGGATGTTACGGCTTTGAGTAGGAACGTGATATTGGTACACTTGGTTTTCATATCACCAAACCTCATGTGGAACATGAGCGGATCAGGGCTCGGACCAGGATATAGTTCGGTCCAGCTTTAGCCCAGATCCAATTTAGAAGTTCAAAAAAATAAATGGGAACAATACATAAACCAGGTTTTTAAGTATCACCATTTCAAAATTAATGATAAGAGGTTTTAAATTTCAAAAATTAAGTTTTCATTTAAAATTTATTTATGATTTAATTAATTAATTATTTATTTATTTTATTAATAAATATATAAAGGTCACATATCTATACAATTTGGTCATAATTCAA